CCTGATCGGTGCGTCAATTCCAATACTTTTCATGTACATAATATTGTAACTCGTTTTTTAAATCTTTTTTTTTTGTAATTCGCTATCTTCTTTATCTCTCCTTTTAATCTGCATTGTGCATTTTGTTTTGCTTCAGAATCCCAGCGTCCCCCCAATAGAGGAGGCCAAGACAACACCCAACACAACACAACAGATGATAATCATGATTTTCTTCTACATACCCAACCGCCATCAGAAGTAGGAAGACAGGCAAAAACATTGGATGTAAAGGGTGGAGCAGAGAGTGGCAATAAGGAAGGAGCAACATAGGAAAGGGAAGAAAGAAGTAAAACAGGAAGGAAGTCACCATCATTGGAAGAGAAAGGCAGAAAAGGGAGGGAGATGGGGAAGAGGAAGGAAAACATGGAACAATGGAGGAAGGAAAGAGCAGAAAGATGGACACATAGGAGGATGAAGTAATGGTAGAAATGGGGAGAAAGACAGAAGCACAACATAGGAAGGGGAAACCAGTAGAAGAGGAGGAAGGACAACATAGGAAGGGGAAACCAGTAGAAGAGGAGGAAGGACAACATGGGAAGGGGAGACCAATAGAAGAGGAGGAAGGACAACATAGGAAGGAGAAACCAGTAGAAGAGGAGGAAGGGCAACATAGGAAGGGGAGACCAGTTGATGAGGAGGAAGGGCAACATAGGAAGAGAAAGAGAGAAGAAAATGGGAAGAAAAAGAGTGAGAGGCAGAAAAAGAAGAGTGAGAGAGAAAGTGGAGGAAGAATGAGTTAGGAAGGCCCGGGGAGAGAGGCAGAAGAGAAAGGGTGAGAGAGGAAGAGGAGGAAGAGTTAGGTAGGAAAGGCCAGGGAGAAGGGCAGATGGAGAGGGTGACAAAGGAAGAGGAAGAGAAAGTAGGTGGAGGAAAGATGAGATAGAAAGGGCCAAGGAAAGAGGCAGAAGAGAAGGGGTGAAACAGGAAGAGGAACAAAGAGGAAGTGGAGGAAGAATGACATAGGAAGGGCCAGAGAGAGAGACAGAAGAGGAAGGGTAAAGGAGGAAAAGAGAGAAAGAGGAAGAAGGGTTAGGTAGGAAGGGTGACATAGGAAGAGGAAGAGGCAGAAGGTAGGGAAGGGATGAGATGGAAATGGCCGAGAAGAGAGAGGTAGAAAAGAAAGGTGAGGCAGGAAGAGGAACAAAGAGGAAGTGAAGGAAGAATTAGGTGGGCAGGGCCAGGGAGAGAGGCAGAAGAGGAAAGTGAAACAGTAAGAGGAAGAGAGAGGCAAATGAAGAAGAAAGACATGAGTAGGTGAGCAGGAGCAGAGAAAGGCAGATGATGGTGGGAGACACAAGAAGGGAAAGAGGGACACGGAGGAGGAATAGCCATACAGGAACATAAGAATAAGAAATAGATGAGGAAAGCATG